CGCCGCCGCACCAGGGCCACCCCGGGGGCTGGGGGGCCGCCGCCGCCGCCGCCGCCGCTGCCGCCGCCGCCGCCGCCGCCGCGCACCTCCCGTCCATGGCCGGGGGCCAGCAGCCGCCACCGCAGAGCCTGCTCTACTCGCAGCCCGGGGGCTTCACGGTGAACGGCATGCTGAGCGCGCCCCCGGGGCCGGGAGGTGGCGGCGGCGGCGGCGCGGGCGGCGGCGCCCAGAGCCTGGTGCACCCGGGGCTGGTGCGCGGGGACACTCCCGACCTGGCCGAGCATCACCATCACCACCACCACCACGCGCACGCGCACCCGCCGCACCCGCACCACGCGCAGGGACCCCCGCACCACGGCGGCGGCGGCGGCGGCGGCGCGGGGCCCGGACTCAACAGCCACGACCCGCACTCGGACGAGGACACGCCGACGTCCGACGACCTGGAGCAGTTCGCCAAGCAGTTCAAGCAGCGGCGCATCAAGCTGGGCTTCACGCAGGCCGACGTGGGGCTGGCGCTGGGCACCCTGTACGGCAACGTGTTCTCGCAGACCACCATCTGCCGCTTCGAGGCCCTGCAGCTGAGCTTCAAGAACATGTGCAAGCTCAAGCCGCTGCTGAACAAGTGGCTGGAGGAGGCGGACTCGAGCACCGGCAGCCCCACGAGCATCGACAAGATCGCGGCGCAGGGCCGCAAGCGCAAGAAGCGGACCTCCATCGAGGTGAGCGTCAAGGGCGCGCTCGAGAGCCACTTCCTCAAGTGCCCCAAGCCCTCTGCGCAGGAGATCACCAACCTGGCCGACAGCCTGCAGCTCGAGAAGGAGGTGGTGCGGGTCTGGTTCTGCAACCGGCGCCAGAAGGAGAAGCGCATGACGCCGCCCGGGATCCAGCAGCAGACGCCTGACGACGTCTACTCGCAGGTGGGCACCGTGAGCGCCGACACGCCGCCGCCGCACCACGGGCTGCAGACAAGCGTGCAGTGAAGGCCCGGGCGCAGCGCGGAGCGGGCCGCCGCCGCCGTCGCCGCCGCTGTCACGCCGCCGCCGCCGCCGCCGCCGCCGCCGCCGCGGTCGGGCGGGCCGGGCCGCCCTCTCCTCCTCCCAAAGACAGGCCTGCCCGCCCTCGGGGGGAAAGGAGAGGGACGCACCGAGGAGACGTTGTTTGAAGTCCAAGGAAGGAGGGGCGAAACAAACAAACAAAGCCTAGAAATGCCCAGACTGTTTTATATACACGACCGTGGCAAAACCGGAAGAAAAAAGGAGGCGATCGTGAGATCTCGTTTCTACTCTGGTGGGGGTTCGTTTGGGGGCTTCTTTTTAAAGAAGGGTGAAGATGCCTAGCGCCCCAAAACTGCGCTCGCGAGGCTTTTCCCACCCTGAGAAGTCCTACGGGGCGACGGTGGAGAGCACTTAGCACCTGCCTCGTCCTATCTTCTTAAAAACAAACAAACAAACATTTGTTTAAAAAAAAGCATCCCCCCCCCCTCCCACCTCCTCCCTCCAAAGGGCCGCCCCCCCACCCTCGCCTCGAGAGATCCACCGAAACTTTGTTTCCTGGGAGCGACCAGAAAGCAGGCAGAGGCACCGGGTTTAATCAGGGGTGACTCTGTGCTCCCGGACCCTGTTATTCTTGTCCATATCAAAGTCATTTGGGGACAAACAAATTGACTATGAAACGGGAAGGAGAAAAAAAAGAACAATCTCTGGAAAACAAGAAATATATATATATACATATATGTATTCACAGCTTCTGAAATTAACAGACTGATAGCAAAGCCAAAAGAAAAAGAATACGTATCCTCAAAGTAACCTTGGAAATAAAAGCATCTCGAAAGAGCAGAGGGATGGGCGAGGGAGCAGGGGATGTCCAGCGGCCAGTGGGAGAGGCCCCGGCGAATCCGGGAGCGGGCGGGCGGACTGGGCGCGGAGCGAGGCCCGGCATCCAACCCCGGCTTATCGGCTGCCGCTCCGATGGGTGGACGACGCCTAAAGATGCCACCGCTAATATTTTTTTTATTAATATTTTTTATTTTTTATTTCTGGACTGACTCAGATCAAGGGATTTAGAAAGACAGCACTTCTCCGGACTCTTCTCCTCAATCCGTTGCCAACTTTGATTGAATGGGTGCTGTGGATGTGATTATATAATACTGCCCTTTCCAAGCAGTGTTTTTGGTAGGTTTTAATAAACAGACTTTTCAAAAGACGGCAATATAGAATTGTTAGATCCGTTGTTGATCTAAAAATATTTGCTTTATATTTTCATTAAATGACTTCTTTTAATATTTTATTCAGAATACTTATGAACTGCTGCAAAACGGTAATTTATTTTTCCCCAGATCTTGTATTACGTGTTTTTTTCAGACGAGCACAAATCAAAATGAAATGAAAATATGGACAGTTGCTAGGTAATAAGGGTATCTTTTGATGTGATCATTTGATTGTAATTTAATTTGAGTAGTGATTCCATAAGAGCTGATCGAGAAAATAAATTTGTTAGAATGAAATAGTCTGTGTCTGATGCATAAACACTGTGTGGGAAGAAAAGAGTCCTTTAGAAAATATTTTTTTACAATGCAAATCCTGAAGGAATAGAGCTGAGGAAGCCGTCTGCTCCACCTAAGGTACATTTGCAAATCTAGAATAAAAGGCAATGACAGAAACCGCTAGTAACTGACCACGTAGTCACTCCTTGTTAGTCTGTTAATTTCACAAAATTTGTCCCTCCCTTAATTTTAGTGGGTGTTTTTAGTGTTTTTAGGTGAGATTGTCTAAATGCTAGTCCTTTTCTCAGAGATACCTGTGTCCTTTGTCACCTTTATCAGAATGTTGGACTACATCCCCAGTAAAAACGTGCCAACTGGTTATTAATGGTGAACACAGAGTCCCTCACCACCACCACCAAAGTTTAGCCTCTCTTTTCCCTCTCATCTCCCCTCCCCCATCATATTGCTACATCTCTTTCCTCTTTTTTCTGAAGACTAATAGTGGTAAAGAATAGCTTACAAGTCGATGAAATATTTTTATATCAATTACTTCCCATTAATAACTATACGTAATTAAGTTTAAATTATTAAGCCGGTTGGGGGGGTGTTTTGTTTGTTTTCTCTATCATATGGGAGAATGTAGTTCTAAACCCCTCATTGTGGACCACACTGCATTACCCTCAGTGTGATCACCAGCTCAGACTTAAGCTTCTACATTTTTTCTGTGTTTCCCTCTTTCCCCAGTATGATTCTGTATTTTCTTCACCGGTGCTGGGGGTTTTCACTTTTTGATCACTCTTTAGATACACCCTGCAGAGCGGTCACATTTATCAAGTTAATGTATCAATATTTACAATGTGGGAAAATGAAAGTGTAATGCCTCAGGTTGTAAGAAACAAGACGCAAAAGGCTCTGCTTCCTTGAGTCCCTTCGTATTGTACTTTAAAAAAAAAAAGTATTTGGGGGTGATAAAGCAATGATTTTGTAGATTAGTTTCCCCCTAATCTCATTGAGCTGTCACTCACTTTTTGCGTCTTCTCTCATCTTTACTCCCTCTCCCTGTGATATCAATGCAGGGGTTAAAAAACCCGGAAAACTGTGAGAGCAACAAGGAGCAGTTATTTCTTCCAGACAGACCCTGTGTCACTTTCATAAATCAAGCCCAGCCAGATGGCCGTGTATTGGGTTGCATTATTTTAAACACCAAATCGTACTAAAAATCACAATCATTTTGATTTGTGAAATCTGAAAAAGGCCATATTTATTAAACAGAGAACAGGGAAAAAATGAAAACAAGAAACCACAATTTACTTTTCTTTGCCTTCTCGTTTCCTATTTGTCTTGCTATTGTAATCTCTTTGCCCAGCAAATTTACAACCTGGAGTGGGGGGGTGGTGACAAACTTTATCATTTTTTGAGGGTCTACAGGGGCAAGCACGGAAGGCCTTATTGGAAAGCTGAGGATCGGGTGTGGTTGTTTTTATAGGGTGGATGCTACTGGCGCGTGAGATGAAAACCTATGTTCCCTGCAGGACTGGTAGTGGTTGATCAGACAGAGAATGGGTCTATTTCAAATGTTAGGAGGCATTCGCTTACATGATTTGGCTGACAACAAAAGAACTAACATTGGATTTCACCCTGTTTTCTATTAAAAAGTAACCTTTGCTGTTTACTTTGGAAGAAGCTCTCATTTAGAGGTAGCAGAGTAACTTAGAGCAGCTGGGAAAGCTGGCCCATTTTATTCCATTATTTTGTATTTTTTTTAAAGTGAGCTCATGCTTGCACTCCATATTTTTTTTAAAAAATCAACCCTTTGAATGTATTTACAAAATGAAATTCATGGTTGCAAAACAAGTGAGGGCAGATACAACTGAGAGGTTTTGTGCTAAGGCTTATATTGTTACACATGTAAATAATGAAAATATTGTTATATATCACCAGATCTTTTTAATGAATTTGGTCATTGTGTTCCTTTGTAGCGCAAGTGTCTTGTGCTTCGTCAAGTGTTCGTTTGTTTCCTCCATTTCAGCCCACCCCCTCCTCCCCTTCCAACTCAGAGGAAAGTGACAAAGTTCTGTTCCATCAATCTGGCTAATCCCAAGCTAGGCCCATTTATAGTTTGCAGTCTCCCGTGGCTTCTGATCAGTTGTCCAAGCTACAGCCATCTCATTCACCCAACCATCTTCCCCTGCAAGTCTGGGCGATAAATCATTCAAGGTGTATTTAAAATAGTCACTTTGTTGTTGTTGCTCTGCCTTTTTTTTTTTCTTTTTTTTTTTCTTTAAGTACTTAGCCAAGGACTACTTCTTTGTTCCAAAACCGAACTATTCATTATTGATCTTAAAGATTCCCTTTGCTTCCCTGTAGCCCCCAGTGTACGCTCATTACCGTGCTCATAATCTGTTTTGTATGAATGGTTTTCAACATTCAGAGAATAATCGGTTCTAATATTAAATGCAGTCTATGCTATTGATAGTTTTATCGATAAGTGTAATATTTTAAATAATTTTAACAATTAAATTTGTTTTTTAAATTATATATTTGTAAAGTATTTATCCTGTTGGAAGCAACAATATATTGTTGTATTTATTCGTTTATTTTTGTAATAAATGATCAACCTCTTCAAGCTAAATCAAAAATGACACTTTTATATATTTATACCAAATGCATTTTAAGAGATGGCCATATTTGCACCAATTTGTATGTAAATAGAGTAAAGATCCGTCATTAACTTGTAGCTTTCAGAACTAAATTGAAGGAAGAAACATTCTCTCCACACCGAGTTTGGTTTGCCCAAGTTCCAGGGTAATTAATCAAACTCTAAAATGGATGCAACAAGTATTGGCACTGGATGCAGACTTGAAATTAATTATTTAGGAGGTGGACCTGGTTTTTTTCAAGGCAGAAGGATAGAAATGAGAGAATCCACTTCTTTCATGAACTGCACATGGCTGACTGGACCTATTAGAACAGATGCTATGTAGCAGTGATAAAACCTAGTACCTGGCTGTGCTCAGATGTCTGTGGTGGGGAAGGGTGTGGAAGGAGAGTTAAAACTTGGAGGTTATCGGTGACCCAGAAGCAAGGGGATGTGGAAAAAGAGTTGTGCTATGGTTTTTTGAAAAAGTGGACCCTCTTAAAATGGCTCTGAGTGAAGAATGGCTCTCTCCTGGTCCTGTTACAGCAGAAGCAATCAGTGCAGGTGTAGTGATGGTGGTCGTGGTCGTGGTCGTGGTTGTGGTTGAGAGTGATACTTGTAGGAAGTGTAGGGGTCACCTCTCCAGCTTTGCAAATTCTGTAGGTCACTTGGTCATCTCAGTTCCTCAGAGCGGCTGTTCCGAGGGCCCGAAGGTCACCCACGTGACCTCCCGGCTGATGGAGCCCCACCGTGGGCTTGATCTTGATTTCAGTGAGGAAATCGGAGGGCTCTGGGTTTGCCTCCTGGACTTTCCAACCTAGCAAAGGAAGCGGCGGGGAGGCTGGAGGAGACGGGTGTGGGCGGGGCGGCGGAGATAGCAA